CTCTCCCTCGCGTTTGTGCGGACCCGAAATGTGAAGAGTACATACGCCCCCGTAATATGCCCGCTCCATTTCTCCTTGTAGCTAATATTCTATATAGCCTTCTTGTCATTATGGCAACCGCCCGCCCGTCGCCCGTCGCGTCCAGAACATGATAGGATACCGACAAAAACACCTACAAACAACTAAAACATCTTTTCTGTTAGTTAACAACGTTTTCAAACGATTCTCCTCATCATTACATGTAATGTACACACTGCACTGGTGAACACAGATGCTGAAAGTTCCACACCAGATATAATTCGCAGTGTTCCCATTGTGCATTAGACATTTTGCAAGTGTTTCAAACTAATACTTAGTAATTGCACACTACGAGGTGTGCAATTCAGTCACACATACGCAAGTGTGCAATATTTGCGTATTTGTATTACCAGTGCATTTCTTACTATTTCGTTAGCTGTTTTCCGCAGACGCCGCGCGATTTCTCATCCGGCCGCGATACTAAACCTCCTTATGCAGCAACAGCACCTTCCGAGATGAACGTCACCGCCTTATGCATGACGAGGGGGGAGATACAGAGGGGATTGAGGGGGGGGGGGGCTTGGCCGGCGCCCCGGGATCAGCGGAAGTTTGAGCAGTTTAATCCAAACGCGCAATGCAATCTGGCAAGAGATTCTCTCCCCCCCTCCCTCCAACGTCCCCTTCCCCCCGAGCCCTGAAGGCTTCCCCGGCTGTAGGGGCGACTCGTACCCACTAGTACTCGCCAAGCAAACACTACCTTCCCGTGGCGTCAACAGCAGTGTTTCACACCACCCCGCTCCGCTACCCCTCTAACGGTGTCCCTTCTTTGCACGCCAACATACGCTGTTGTCGTTGACACACTAAAACCCGGATGACTAGACACAAATACCACAAAAGACACAATGTTGAAAAACACAACGTTTTCACTGCGACTATGAGTTAGATTATGGCAAATGTACTGTCAATGATAATGCAACATAAATTATGAATATAATAAAAAAAATACAAGTTTAAAGGCATGAACAATCACGAAAAAGTTGGGAGCAGATGTCCCACTCAAGCTGTAATTTCTGTTTAATGAAAAAAAATACCCACATAGAATCATCGAATACATCCGACACGAACATTGTGTCTGTACAGCCAGCACCACACTCACGCGCGCGCTCACGCACACATACACACACGCATGAGCGCTTATGGCACCTGCTGACAAACTTGAGTAATTTGTCAGGTGTGCGTCAGGCAAATCCCCCCCACCCCCACCCCGCGCATATACACACTACCACACGAGTGCTGCGGTGGCCTAAGACACAAAGCCCCAACCACGAGCACACACCTTACCTGCCCACTCACACACGCACATTTCTCGTCGCGAATCTACGTTCCGTGTGAAGCTCCATATCAGGGGGACCATAGCACCGCCGCGATGCCCGCATTAGATACGTTTTACCTTTTCCCCCAACCGAAATGCATGCATAGTAGACTGGCACTTAAAAATCACTTTTTAGATATTTAAAGGTCTTAGGGTCAGACTTTGTTTCTTTCGATGAAAAAAAAA